TTCTTCTGTGTATTTTTTCATCCATATGATTTCACCCTTTTTCCCAAAGGAGGCTAACCCATGAATTTCCCTTACAATCTACAGATGCATAATGAAGACCATCAAAGTGTTACCATTGTCATGCTCTTGTTAACTGAACTGCATGCCACCACTTGTTATGTATGTATTTTTGAATATTATTGAATGTCAGATATTAATTTGATAGTTGAAAATCTAATTTACAGGATTCTCACTTGAGAATTTCCAGTGTACAGCCTGAGCTCTTCAGTCCAGCAGAGAGCAGCTCCACTCCTGAATCCTGCAGGTCATTGTTACTGAGGTCTATTTTTTTCAGGGGGGACTTTGCTGATTGAAGAGTAGAGCAAAGAATTTCACAGGAGTCCTTGGTGAGACTACAGCCAGCTAGTCTACAAAGGAATATCAAACACAGCACACAGAACAGTTAAAATAGGGGAGGAAGATCCAGTGTCATAAGAGCTAATAGTTTTCTATTTAATGACTTGATCTTTGGATTTTGAAACTGCCCCAATATCTAACTCAAAATTAAATGCATTATGGAACATAACTTTTGCAGTGTGGTAATGCATTTCTGTATAAATTCACCATGCTGGTGATTAGAGTACCAGTTACTCTAGACAACTGTGGTATTTTTGCACATGCCGTATGTAAAACCCAATCTAAACAAACAAATTAATGAGATGTATTTTAATGACCAATGTTCAGCACCTGTTTGGGTACCAAAATGGATACCAAAAAAAAACCTGCAGTTCTTTAAATGGAAAATTTTTCTGGTTAAAATTCAGCAGAAATAAAAAATGGTAAAGGATTTTAGGCTGTGTCAAGGCAATATCAAATGTAACAAGTACTTCTATCTGCATCCACAGTCAAAAGAGGTAAACATAATAGAAAAGATCATTCAATACACACTGGCTTCTTACCAAGGATGGATAAAGTTAAATTGTTTTTGTTATTGATACCAATAACAATACCCATAACTTAATTTTGATAGTGATTATGGAATGATACCTTTTTCTATATCTACTGTCTAATTATTAACCAGAAGTTTGCATGGCCTAAACCAGGAATGAGTATGAGGTGCTGAAAATAGGCATATTTACTGATTTTAACAGATTGCAGAATGTTAACAGCCAACTAGCACTCTACATTTTGTGCCCCCATTACCTAATGTATACAAAGATTGAGTGTTGAGTGTTAAAATTCATATTTATATTTGAACATAGCCACAAGCAGCAAACCTTGAAGTTTGTGATTAAGTTTTGTGATTAAGGTCATTACACATAAGTTATGTGTGTACTACAATTTATACAGCTCTGTCTAACATTCATGTTGGGGAATTGAACCCATGACCTTAGTGTTCAAAGGCAGAAGTTTTCATAGTGAGTCACAAGAGGTCTGTGATGATGCTGCATTTTTTGAGATGCAGCATCATCACATATTTTGAGATTTCTTAGTAGGAAGCAATAAGGAACCAAGCACCATTTTAGGAACTAGTTCCCAACTTTGAAGTATAGTGATTGTTGTGGAATATAATTGAAAATGAATTCATACTGCACCCTCAGTTTGTCATTTTGTATATATGTTTCAAATTAGATTATAATCAGATTATCATTGTTGTATTTTTAGCCTTTTAGGGCAGAATAAGCTAGGTCACACTGATTTGTTCAAATCTTGCTGCCACACTGTGCTGAAAAGTCATGATGTTTTTGATAATGATCTCTCTTCAAACTCCACAGATTGGTCTTAGAAAAACTTTGAGGTAATTTGAGATATAAAACATAAATACATACAGTTAGATGTTTGTTTGCTTCTTTGTTTGAAGTATATCATTTGCAAGTACTTTTGGAGCTACCTCTATTGACTGGATTAAATATTATAATACACTAAGAATTTAATGGATAGACTTAAGTTAACTTGCCTGACTTCCTTTGTAATCTAGGATCACAATTTCTAGTAAATTCACATTAGATCAAGCATTGTAGGGCAAACAATGTAATTTATATTTTATATGCTTCCTTGTGCAATTGTTTTGTACAACCAAAATTTCAAAATTTTATTATAATCAGAGAAAGAGTGATGGATTTGTAGGCCTTATGTCAGAAAAGCAAGGCCAAACAAAGTAATTGATATTTTGTGGCTACTATTTACAATAAATTCTAGATTTTTTAAAATAATTATTTACCTTCTGATGTGCAGTTTGACTCCACATAGTTGTAAAACCAAATTTAAACATTTTATTGAAGTAATTTGATTTATAAAAATTTACAGGACTTATTCGTATTTTTGTTGTATAGCACTACCTCACTGCCAATTGAGGGCAAATTTTATTGCATCTGTAGACACATCTTTTTCTGATGATTGGCCAATGCTAAGCCCTCCCAATGCCAGATTCTGCACAATTTCTTATGGGGTATAGGTCTGTCAAGTTTCATGAGAATTAGCCAAAAACAATTTAGATTTCTAGCCATTTGTTTAATTATGTTAAACTCAGGGGGAGTTAAATGTCAAGTAGTAGCCTTATTATTTACAAACATTGTTTAAACATTGTTTACAAAAATCTTAGTTTTTTAATAGTTCTTGACCTCTAGACTCCCATTAACATCTTGAGACCAATATTGAGTGAATATTGTTTATGTGGAATAAACCAAGGATTATGGAGATGCAAGATTTTTGACTGTAGGCCTCACGATTGAGGAGATATGGGCCAAAACATAAAATGTGGCTCTATAGCACCAGCATCAGGCCAGTTGGTGTCACTTCACTTTCCTGAGTGGGGGGGGGGTATTACGTAAAAAAAAGAATAATAAAAATAAGAAGAACATACAAATTCTCACAAATGCAATAGGGTTCCATGCACCTAAAGGTCAATGGACTCCTAGTTACAGAATTTTTGATACTTCATAGTTTTGAAGTAATTTGTTCCATTCATTTCAATATCCAGCTTGGTATTTTGGCAGTCCAGCATTCTGTCATGAATTAATATTGGTGCACACAAATGAGAGAAAAGGGCAATAGTGTCAGATATAATCTAAACATAGGTTGGTAATGAATTATGAAACAGAAAATGTTACAACTGAGTTATTTTTTCATGATAACATGTTAAATCTATAGGGAGAGGCATCTGGTAGGCTATTAAACACTGTCTTTCAAAGGTTTGACATATGAACAACAGATGAAACAGAACTATATAGTAAAGAACCATGCGTAATGTAAATTTACAAAGTACACCTTGTGTTAGCTTTAGAATGAGAAAAATACAGAACATGAAAAAATTAAGTGAAAATTTGTTAGTGAAGTAACCAAATGCATTGTGCACAACTTTCTTAGCTTATTTTTTAATAGCTTTTGTAATTGTCAAGTTGAATAGAAATTATATTGCAGGCAACCCACAAAATGCAACTAGTTGCATGGACATTTCACTGTGTAAAGTCTGCCTTTGACTGGACATATTAGTGTGGGACCACTTTCATGTACTGCATGAGGAGCCATGTCCCTCATGAAAGCATTTTAGGATGGCAAATTGCAGGATAATAGGTACAAGCACTTTTATTTTCTATTCAATATCAATACTAAAGAAGCTAAGAAATGGAAGACTGGTATGGACATACAGTACAGTAAGAATATGAGAACTGTGCACATTAATTCATTCATTATCTAAACTACTTTATCACCCTGTGTTGCATCTCTGTGGTCATTGGGTGGAAGGCATGAAACACCCTGGACACCCCATCACAGGGCAGACACATAGACATACACAGTCATACACAAACACACACACACACACACACACACATTCATACCTAGGATCAGTTTAGCATATCCAACTGGCCTGATTGCAAGTCTCTGGACAGCCTGAAGACCATGAAACTGTTTGCCACCACTTTCTATGTATTTCTTAATGTAATTGAATATCAGATCTTAATATTTCTAGTTTAAAATCGAATTTGCAGAATTCTCACCTGAGTATCTCCAGTTTACAGTGTGAGCTCTTCAGTCCAGCAGAGAGCAGCTGCACTCCTGAATCCTGCAGGTAATTGTTACTGAGGTCCAGTTCTTTCAAGGGGGAATTTGGTGATTGAAGAGCAGAGCTAAGAGTTTCACAGGAGTCCTTAGTGAGATTACAGCCAGATAGACTACATAGGAATAATAAACACAGCACACAGAACAGTTAAAATGAAAGGGAGATCAAATGTCAGAGTTAAGACATTTTTTTTTACTGACTTGATCTTTAGGTTTTGAATCTTGATTTTGTAGGTTATTGCCTGATGATACTTTTTTCTTTAGTATGAGGTGCTGGATGGGCATATTTACTGAGTGTAGAAGACTGCAAAATGTAATTTTCACAGTCAACCAGCACTTCACATTTTAAAACTAGCATCCTTACTGCCTCATGGATACAAAGACCAAAGGTGCTTAGGTATTCAAATTCAACATTTAATTACACATTTTGTGGATACTTGGTAGTTTTGAAATCATTTGTGCTATACATTTCAATATCCAGCTGTACTTCTTACTGGGGAAATTGACATTGGACTTTTTCAGGTGGTATTTTGGCCAGCCAGTGTTCTGTTATAAATTATTATTGGTATATGCAAATGAGGGGCAAGGCAGTAGTGTCAGATATCACACAAACAGTAAAATAGGCTGAATTATAAATTACAAATCAGAAATTGTTACAATAGAGCTATTTTTTCAGGATGTCATCTTCAATCTGTTCATGTTCTGTGAATCTAGATCAGTATTTGGTGAATCGCACATGTATAATGAAACTCTTTTCTGGTGGTTGAGAGGAGTCAAGTGAAAGCAGAACAAATAACCTTGACATATTACAATACATTAAAATGACTATTCCATTCCAGACAGCTACAAATCATAAGCTGTTAAAATAAACCATGCTGTGGCTCAGAGTGTGTGCAATCATCACAATGGGTGCATTGGCCATGGTCAACCTGGAGAGAAAATGGTGGAGAGGCAGGAGAGCTGGAGCGCTCTCACTCCTTCCTTTCAGTGTCTACACCAATGAATTTGTCTCAAAATAACCAGCAGTGAAGATACTGAAATTTGCAGATGACACCACCATGGTGGTCCTCAGAGCCAACAGTGATGAGTCTGCATACAGAAAGGTAAGACAAAAAGTCGAGCAGCTGGTCTTCTGGTGCAACAGCCACCACCTGCTGTTGAACAGAGAAAAGACCGAGATGGTGATAGACTTCAAGCACAACCACCCATCCCTACACCCCCTCACCATCAATGTCTCTGTGTTTCCACTGTGGAGTCACTCAAGTTTCTGGGCACCAGCATATCATCCAGGGACGTGGAGTGGGAGAAGAACATGCTCTCCATTGCTTAGAAAGCACAGCAAAGAATGTTCTTCCTAAAACAGCTGAAGAAATTCAACCTGGTGTAGAGCCTGATGATCCATTGTTACATAGCAAACATTGAGTCCATTCTTATGTCATCCATTACCATCTGGTTTGGTTCCTCCAACTCACATGAACAAACCAAACTACAGCGCATAATCAGGACAGTGGAGAGGATCATCAGATGTATCTGCCAACACTTCAGGACATTTACAACAGCAGGGTGTCAAAGCATGTTGGCAAATTTACAGCTGACCCCTCTTATCCTGGACTCCCCTCTGGTAGAAAATTCAGGACCATCAAAACCAGCACAGCTGTTTTTTCACCAGAGCTGTAGCTCATTAACCACAGCAGACACTTTGCACTTTATATCTAAACTGAACCAACAGACCTCCTTATAGTATGACAATAAAACTCTTCCTGTAGCATAATGCTTATTTGTACTATTATATTTTTTTTTACAAAACCTACCTTCAAAACTGACCTCTAGTAACTGTCATTGTATTAGAAATACCTAAGTTGTGAGTTAACTGAAAACAACAAGGTGAAGCTACATGGTTTATATGAACACTTATTTGTACATTTTTAACTGATATGTGATCTATTATTCAATTCTTTTCAGCATTAAAAAATGTTTTATTAATGTAGATAAAACACTCACCGAGCTTTCCTGCAGACAGTCACAGCTGGGATCAGTCTCCTATAACCCTCCTCTGATGTGTTGTATTTCATCAGGTCCAGCTCATCCAGAACCGCCTCTGACATTAGAAGCATGCAGGCTAGTGCTGAACACTGTCCAGGAGGGAGCTTCTCCTCTGAGTGTTTATCTGATTTTAGATACTCCTGAATCTCTCTGGAGAGAGACTGGTCATTCATTTCAGACAGACAGAGGAACAGATTGATGGATCTCTCAGTGGAGATGGGATAATTTATATCTTCTCCTTTGATTAGTGTCTTGATGTACTCTGTGATTTTCTCTGAGCTGCGCTGTGTTGGGGTCAGTAGACCCTGTAGGAGTCTCTGATTGGACTCTAATGAGATGCCCAGCAGGAAACGGAGGAAAAGATCCAGGTGTCCATTCTGACTCTTTACTGCTTTAATCACTGCTCCTTCCAGCAGATCATCCAGATGAACATTCTCAGACCACTTTCCGTACCATGGATTAAAAAAACCCAGTGAAACATTCTTGGACCACTTTCTGTTTAGTGGTTTAAACATCTGCAGTTCCTCCATGTTTTTGATCTCGTAGCAGTGAAACACATAAAGAGCAGCCAGGAACTCCTGAAAGCTCAGATGAACAAAGCAGTAGACCTTCCTCTGGTAAAGCACACATTCCTCCCTAAAGATCTCAGTGAAAATCCCAGAATACACTGAGGCCTCAGTGACATCAATGCTGCTCTCTCTCAGGTCCTCTTCATAGAACATCACATTGCCCTTCATCAGCTGTTTGAAAGCCAGTTCAGCCAGTTTCAGAAGAACGGTTCTGTTGGACTCCAGCAGGTTCTTTGGATCTTTCTGAGGAGTTGTATTACCCTTTTTGCTTTTTGTTTCCATCTGAATGGTTAGAAAGTGTGTGTACATTTGTGTTAATGATTTAAGTTCTTCTGTATTGCGATTTTTCATGATTTGCTGAAGGACTGTGTATGTGAGCCAACAGAAGACCGGTATGTAGCACATGATGTAGAGAGTCTTTGACTCTTTAATGAGTGAGATGATGTCGTTAGCTTGATCACTGATGGTGTTAGCTTGATCCTGGTCACTGATGGTGTTAGCTTGATCCTGGTGACTGATGGTGTTAGCTTCATGCTCCTTACTGATTCTGTTCCTGAAGTAATCCTCCTTCTGCTGGTCAGTGACAAATCCTTGTACTTCAGTCACCAGGTGGATGTAATTTAAGGGGATCTGATCTGCAGCTGCAGGCCTGGAGGTGATCCAGACACGAGCAGATGGAAACAGGGCTCCTGTGATGAGGTTTGTTACCAGTACATTAACACTTGCCTTCTTTGTTAATGCTGACATTTTCTTTTGGTCAAAATTCAATGGACTTCTGAATTCATCCAGTCCATCAAAGATGAAAACACACTTACATTCACCATCAAAAAGCCCAGTTTCTTTTAAGAGTTGTTGCTCAGGGTAGAAGTAAAGAAGTAGTTTAGGAAGGCTGTATTCTTCATCTTTTAGAAGATTCAGCTCTCGGAAAGGAATAATAAAAACAAAATCGATATCTTCATTTGATTTTCCTTCAGCCCAGTCTAGAGCAAACTTCTGAACCGAGACTGTTTTCCCAATTCCAGCTATTCCCAGTGTCAGCACTTTTTTAACATGTTGTCTTCCACTGAAAACCTCACTGAACTTGACTGCAGCATCTGTGGCAGCACGTCTCGATGATCTGGCTTCAATTTGAATCACCTCATGATCTGTGTTCACTCCTCCTCTCCAGTCCTTCACTATATACAGCTCTGTGTAAATGTCATTCAGAAGATTGTGCTTCCCTTTTGCTGCTGTCCCCTCATATAATGTTGCATATTGATCTATGATATTTAATTTGAGGTTCTGACTTTCTGCTTGTCTCCATGCATCTGCAGAATAAAAATAAAAGACTCATGTTCTCAATAAACAAAAATTGCCATACATCACAGATAATTAGAGATAATAACACTGTCATTTCCTGCTTGTCTTCAAGTAGTTTTAACTTGTACAGTCTGTTGATGACAAACACAAAACCTGCCTCTAATCATTAGGCTCTCTCTAGGCCCATGCAATATGGGCAAGTTCTGTATTTAAATGTAGTATAATTGTGTATTGGTAACTTTCCAGTTCTAGATTGAATGCATCTTCTGCATGTTCTGAAATGTGAGATATAAATTGAAAAATAAATCAAAATAAAATAAATAAATAAATAAATAAACAAATAAATCAGGAAATACTGTGATCTGCAGGAAAGGGCATTTTATGGTCAGCAGCTACTAAATACTAAATACACTACTTGTGAGTATTTGAAAGAAATTAGATATTTTGAATAGATATATGTTTAGTTTTATACATACATATACATATATATATATATATATATATACATATATATATATATATATATAAAAATTACCTTGAGCAGCAATGTTTGTGGAGTTTCCAGGCTGAGCTTTGGCGGACATTGCTTGACCTGGGGGAGGGCGGGGGGTATTATTTTACTTCTGTACATTGAATTTCAGACACACACAATGTGGATTAAAAGATAAATTGCCTAACAACTCAAAAACTCAAGTTTCAAGCATGATGTAGTCTACATCAGTGGTCACCAACCCTGGTCCTGGTTGATCATATTCAATCTGTATGTTCCTTTTAAAACATTTAACTTTACCTTTATTATGAGCCTAAACCATGTGTTCCTCTATAGACTGTAAAACATGTAATTTCAACTGTTTAAGGGATTTAGAAAAAAATTACTCCTTTATTGCTTACTTTGCTTTGATTCAATCAAAACTACTTATTTGACTGCTTGTTACAATATTAAGTGTTTTAGGATGAACTGATGAAACATTATAATGTGTATGAGCACAATAGTTAACAATCGTTCTTTTTTTTAGTTTTATTGAAACAACTGATAATAAATGGGAATTTGTCCCATCTCCAATGGGCTTTACCTGAAATTACACTTTTCTGTGTATATAGTCAGGAGCAGTTCTCAATATACGTACATTCTCACACACAAGAAAAAGATAAATCACAAATAATGCATAAAAACATGCATATGTGAGGTGTTCACATAAACCTGTGCACATGCATAGTTCATAAATGAGACCCCTGGAGCTATTTTTTTGGCAACAGGCAGCTTGATATGGGCACAGCACTGCATGTAAACAGAGAGCACCCTGGTAGAGCCACTGGGCCCCAACAGCAGACCCCTTTTGGAGATGACGTTAATGGTGTAAAAAACAGCCTTTAACCTTTTTTTTGAAAATAATTTTTTTAGGCTAGACGGACTGCACACCAACAAGAGGGGAGACAAATCTCTGACAGTGAACCTCATTCTACCCCCCTAGGTGGGGACACATCAGCACTAACATTCAACGACTCTGTCATCACTCCAGGGCCACAACAACCTCCTCCACACTGAGAATGCCCTGATGGAGCTGCACTTATTGGGTAAGACCCATGATGACGTTCAACTGAATCAGTTGCTGGACCAAACAGCTACACCAAAACTGGGATGAGGCTGTTGCTCTGTCATGATCTGTCATGCAGCCCTCACGTTCAGCAAAAAATGAGCCCAGTTTCTCCTGTACCTCATCTACTGCCTCTGGGATGCAACAACCCCCCTGACCCCATCACAACCACCCATCAAGGGGTTTGTTAAAGCTGCTATGCAGAAGCTCAGCCAGATTGATGAACTATGAGCTCCCCCAGCACCTGCAGCACCTCAGAGAAAGATACAAGCTCTTCAATCAACAGTAAGACAGCTTTGCTCTCTACCTCATCATCAGCATGAGCTTCACCCACCCTCCTTCACTGAAAGGGAAGAGGTCAACCCATCTTCAAGTAATCCGGCAAACTGCTATTTTTTGAATGTTTTCAAAACAAGCTCAGACACTGTGTGCCAATAATCTCTCCCATTCCAGTGCTTATCAGAATCAGAAGAAACAGAGAGTACATGTCTGATAATATGACTGTATCCAATCTGCAGTATGTAAAATGTGAGTCACAGCTTTGAAAGCAAAGTGTACGGGTTATTACATTAACTCTTCTCAATATTAGATTTCTCACATACAAATCTTATTTGATTAATGCTTTTATTATAACCTGGGGGCTTGATTTTATGCTTTTAACAGAAACTTGGTTTAATGAATGTAGTGCTGAAACCATATTAATCGGTTAATCCCACCCAAATTATAAATGTCTCAGAAAGGTGAAGGTCTAGTTGTTCTATTTGATGTCTCTTCCCAGTGAAAGCAATTATCACTGCATATCAATTATCCATATCATCACATCTTTTGAGTATCTTTGTGCGTTTCTGAAAAGGGTACTTTAGTAATTGTCTACAGGCCTCCAAAGTACAATGCTAATTTTATTGATGAATTTACAGATATGTTAGCATTTATTTCCACTAGTTTTGATCATTTTGTTATTGCTGGTGATTTTAACATATACACTGATAATTCCAGTGACATTTATGCCAAGGAAGTCTGTGCTATATTGGACTCTTTGGGACTCCCTCAGTAATGTGACCGGGAGCACACACTGTCATGGCCACACTCTGGATGTGGTCATCTCAAAGGGTCACAACATATCAGCCACTGTTAAGGATGTTGCTTTGTCAGATCATTACTGTGTTTTCTTTTAAATGTGGACCTCACTAAACATCAAGAACAGACACATCTGTTTTATAAGAAAAGGTTCATAAATGACAGCATAGCTTCACTTTTCATAAGCAAAATGTGTTCTGCACCATGCAAACCATGTGACTCTGTTGCTTTGCAGGAGAGCTTTAACCCAAAAATTGTGAGTGTTGTGAATGAGATTGCACCAGTTCAAATTAAATCCATGTAATGGCAACAGAAAGTGCCTGTGAGGGAAGTTTTATGTTTCATTTAAAGTCTAAAAGAGAGAATGTAGGAAGGCTGAACACAGATGCCAAGCTTCAAATTCACAAAGAAATCTACAAAGATAGGCTGCGTGATTACAACAAAATAATGTGCAAAGCTAGACAATCCATACTTTTTTAACTCTAAAATCCATAATATAAGGCAAGCCTTACATACATCTATATCCACCAATGAGCCTCTTCATCATCACATGAAAAAAGGCATTAAAATAATTGAAATGTACCAGTTTAGCGCTATCAATAATTAAATCTTAATCGATACAGTGAATCATCTCAAATCGTCCACCTGTAGTCTTGATTTGTTACCAACCAACTGTTTAAAGAATGTGTTTCACTCAATAGCGGCAGACATACTTCAGATAGTAAACACCTCACTCCTGTCAGGCGTTTTTCCCAACAAATTAAAAACTGCAGACGTGAAGCCCCTCTTAAAAAAACAACTGTCTAGACAAATTTCAGGTCAGGTTTTGGGCCTAATCACAGTAGCGAGAATGCTCTAATTAAGTTGCTTTGCTGAGCTGAAGGCGTTGTAGTGGCTCAAGGTTTCTGTCCACAAACGTGAAAGTGAACACTAGCCACGTTTATATGCAGCCTAATAATCCATTAATAATCTGACTAATAGTCCGATTGAGACCATTCGGAATACAGTTTCTATCTGACTGATCGAGGTGGGTAATCCTGTAAATAATCAGTTAAATAGGAGAATAATATCCATGTAAAACGCCTATATCTGATTACATTCCCTATCGGAAAGTTTGTCCATTCTGATCATGTTCATCACGTAATAGTGAAAGTTTATACCGTTCAGCATGGCGGTGCAGAAACTGGTCTGCAGAGGAGACGAAGTTTATGCTCTGATCTGTAAAAGACGGCGGTGGGACGGACGTCCAGCTTATGTGTCTCAGAACACGACGTCTTCCTCTCGGCCTTCTTTAATAAGGACATGTGAAGGACGTTTTCCTGAGTCTGACATCATTTTAAAGCAATTAAAAACACAAGCACTGCTTACTGCTGCTCATCTGACTCTGACTGGACGTGATGGTCGCTGTCATGGTACCGTTTACTCTAAGCAGGATTCCATACATGTGCATTATTTTGCATCGGATTACTTGTAGTGAGCATGTAAACGAAGATTTTCCATCACATTGTTGAGTAGAGTAAGAAAAAACATCTCAGTCTTAATCTGTAATCAGAATATATTCAATCGGATTAGCAGAAATCTTTGCATGTAAACATAGCCATTGATGGAAAGAGTGATTCCTCCATGTTCTCTGAAGAATCTGTAGAAAGATATTTAGGGCAAGAGGAAGTGGAGGATGTGTGATGGTGTCTCTGGTGATTGATACATGTCATCATAACTTTCTCCCACATTCTAGACTGTTGCTGCATTGTGCAACTTTCCTGTACTGTCTCAACCTGAGATGTATTGATATAGTGATGATGTGCTGAGCATTCCGGCACCTCTTTGGAGTTGTGGGGGTTGACAGGTGAAGAAGAGAAAATTAAACACATTCAGTAAATGTCTTGTTTTCCCAGCATAACAGTGATGAGTCTTCTCCTTCAATACAAAGCAGGCAATCTGAGAGCACTCTACAATACAGAATGTCTCGAGATTCTCCAGGTCCTTGGTCATCTCTTTTGGACTCTCCTCTTCAGCTCATCCCAAAGGTCTTGTAAATGGTTTCGATTAGTGTACTGGGATGGCCATATCGAAAGTTAGTGTCGGTGGTCATTGAACCATTTTTGTATGGATTTGGACATATGTGTTGGGTCATTACCTGCATTTACAGGACCCCAATGGCTTCATATTAGTCTTACTAAGACTGATAATCTAACTAAGCTATGAACCTTTAAACAGCAATGTTCAACTGTCATAATCTAAGATCTTCAGTCAAAGCTTATTCTAATTAAACATGCAGTCTAGGCTGATATTGGTCAAATGATTCAAGATAGATTTGAACATTTAAATTCATAGACCACTCCACTAGCTTACACATGGTGCATTTGTGACATTTTGTAGCTTTTAGTAGTAACAGAGCTTTTTGACAGTAAAATAAATGTAAGTTACAACAGGTGAAAGGGCTCAGACTTCTATAGAGAGGAAGAGACATACATATACTAAAGAAGAAGGAGAAAAAGAAAAACATATTTAACTCACACATGGGTGAGCTAAAGTGCACCATGAACAGGATGTGCACCATTATAAATGACCCAGTTTTAGCTTTTTGGCAAAGATAGATGTTCATTTAACATTTAATATGTTTCATTCAGGCCCAAAATATTACAGATACTCTTAACAGTGAGGATAAGGTTCTTATATACTACTTATATAAGGTTCTTATATACTTGAGTGATTAAGAACACTTAAATGGTCAACCATGGATTCCCGTTTCATTAGATTATAAATAAGAGGCAACACACAGACCAGATTCCCTCATCCATCACTATGAGAAACACAGCAACAATGTGAGATAAAGGTTACTGAGCTGCACTGAACTGAACAGTTGTCCATCAGGACGTCTCCCAAAATGCGAGCAGATGCCACCTACAGAACCACAAGTTGTTTGGGAGGGTTTTACCGAGGAAACCCTCTGCTGTCAAAGACCAACAAATTCAAGTGCTTATAGTTTGTCAAATATTACTGGAACTCAGTCAGACTGTGTTCTATGGTCAGATGAGTCCAAAATACAGTTTTTAGCAACAAACACCAGAGATAGGTTTGGTATAGACACAGAGATAGTCAAGCAAAGTATTACATCACTGTGAAGTGTGGCGGTGGATCAGTGATGTTGTGGGGCTGTTTTTCTTTCAAAGGTTCCACACAACTTGTTTGGATAAATGGTATCATGGATTCCATCAAGCATCAGCAGAAATTAAATCAAAACCTGATTGTCTCAATCAGGAAGCTTAAACTATGCCACAGTTGGATCTTCCAGCAGATCAATCAGTGTGTTTACATCCACTTAATAATCTGATAAATGCAGAAAATCAGATTTTGTCAGCAATATATTCACTGTTGTTTCCATGCACTTGGGTAATCAGATAACTGGAAAACTCTGGGTCTACATGAGGCAGGGAATAATCAGATTTCTGCCATGCAGTCAATAAATTCACAGAAGACATGACGTAATGTAAAACTGAAACTTCTTGCCACAGCTTTTTTTTTTAAATATCAATTCACTTCAGTGGAAAATATAAATAGACATAGTCTAGGAGTTTAAGAATATTAAAATTGTCAAATGAAATCTTTTAATAATATTCTGGAGCGTGCTTCATTTAACACTGTTATATCTGGTACAGTGCTCTGTTTCTTCACATGTACAGAATGAGAAAACTGAAAGAATCAGAGAAAGCGTGTACATGTGCTGAGAAATCCAATTACTGAGCTAAGCTTCAGCTATCTTTATCGGATTTCATGATCAGATTTCTAGGCCTTACTCCAGTCTAAGAAATCAGTGTGATGTTTATCCAACCAATTGAATCAGATAACTGCAGAAATGCTGTTATGATCAGATTATTAAGGACATGTAGATGCACTCAATGATCCACAGCACACCTCAAAATAACAAAAATAGTGGTTCACTGACCACAGAATCAATTTATTGCCATGGTCATCCCAATTCCCTGACCTAAAACCCATAGAAAACCTGCTGCAGAAGAGAGTCCACAAGCAATGACCTCAGAATCTGAAGGATCCGGAGGGGTTCTGTATGGAGGTCTCAGATCCTTTGCTGTGTGTTTTACAGCCTCATTATGTAGCACTGGAGAAGACTCAGAGTTGTTATCGTTGCAAAGGGAAAATTGCTCAAAGTATTAAATGAAGGGGTGCCAACAATTGTGGCATAGAGATTTGAGAAAAATCTTTGTTTCACAATAAGATTTAGTTTTTTCTGTCAGGGATGCCAATATTTCTAGAGGGCACTGTACTTAGAACTCCTCCTGACCATGCATATGCAGAAACCCTGTGTGTTAGAAAAGTGTAATTGCAGGTAAATTCTATCTGACAGGTGTTCCTGATCCCTGGTGACCCAACTCTGTGCACATTTTTCTTTTTTTTTTCTCATTGAGCACATTTCATTCAACTCATTAAATAATTAATAAGGACCTTGTTTATCAACTGGATGACGAGCGCAGTGTAGGATTTCTGTAGTTTCTGACAATGGACAATTGATTATGTATTTCTTGGAAAACATGCCAAAAGTGTTTGTAATGCCTATTTGTAAATGAACAAATGAATATGAAATGCCAGATGAATTTGAGCTGTTACTTTGTATGTCATTTCTTTAAATGAGATTGTGTGTAAAAGAATATCATATGCTTCTTATATATGTTGGTTTAAATATGATTTTACCTGCATTACGTTCTCCGAGGTTGGTTCTTAGTTTCTCAGCCAGCTCGTTCTGGTTCATCTTGTTCAGGATTTGAAGTGTGATCTCTACAGCTCCATTTGGGCTGTAACTCTCCACCATCTTGTCCACAGTGTCGTATATGTCAGCATTCTCCATCAGACTCTTCGGAATGTGTTTGAAATCTTCCACACCATTGTTCAGATGCCACTGGAATTTTTTCAGATCGTCTGACAGCAGCTCTTGTAGAATGTCCAGTAACTGGAATTTAATGTTCGCCATCTTGCATCCCTGGGCATGAAGAAGTACAACAGATTTTAGTGGAGGATTCTGGTAAATGAACTCAGTAAATTTAGAGTTTCATGAATAAAGATGCAGCACTGAGTGTCTGCTTTGATCTGTTTAGGCTCAATTGTCTCTAGCCACTTTGACGGCCTGTGACCGTTTAAGCTGAGTTTAACTTTTTCATTTTATTCAATTAAATTTTTGTTGTTTATTATTCTATTTTATTTTTATTTTCATTTCATTTAAATTCATTTTATTTGACTAATTAAAATCTTAAATAATCTTAATTTAATCTTAATTATACTACTGTGTCACGTATTCGGCGAGCTCTAGCAAGGAACCGGACTTCATCTCCCAGACTCCTCTGGGAGATCACATGACGGATCCCTTTTGTACCTTTGCCTGTATTGACTGACCTGCGTTTTTGACTTCCTGTTTTTGTCACCTCATTTTTTGCTCTGCCCTTTAGCTTTGGTTGCCCGATCTTATTAAACGTGTCGTCTTTTTTTACATACTGGGTTTTTTTTGTTTGTTTATACTCCTTTAAATGGATATTATCTTCCAGCTAAGAAATGTGAAAAATATATGCACATGATGTGTAAATAAAAGCGTCTCTAAATCATCTATTAACTGTGTGTTCACTAATGAGATGAGTGTTATTTACCTGTAATCTTTCAGTTTTTAGCACACTTGAACAGGTAATAACAATCTGTATTCATAGTGACCAAACGTGGTAGTAAATGCTAGTAAATGGTTATATTTCATAAACTGCAGATGCTTGAACACTGCAACTTTACAGTACCTTAGTGTACAATTTACAAAAACATTTTCCTAAATTACAGGATTTTATTTTATTTTGCTGTAAAGTCTGGAAGATAATATCCATACTTAACAGCTTATTACAGGGAAATATTCTATGTTAGCAGTGGTTATTAAGCATAAATAATTTTCACTTTAGTTATAGTTTTGCACATTCATTAATAAATGTTTTAACTAGCTATGTCCAAGTCATTTACTAACAGTACGGTATTGGTAAATAAAAGTGAGTTTATTTCACTTTAATTCTGGTTGGGCAAATTCATTAATAAAGATATTTAAATGTATGGTGGTGCTTGCAGTCTATTTTTTTAGGAATTGTAGGTTGTTCTGGGGGATCCAAGGCGGCATTTATACTGGGCGCTGGGCTATGCCAGTTCACAGTAATGGCCTTCAGCCTTGGCTGATGGAGCCAATGCTTGCTGTCATCTACAAGTACCAATGTATGATCTACATCGATGACATACAGGTGCACACACCCAACTTCAATGGTGCGCTCGCAAACTTAGAACAGGTATTCCAGGGTATCAAGTCTGCAAACCTACAGCTACACCCAAAAATGCCAGCGCCTCCATTGGCGTGCAAGTTTCTTGGGGCACACAGTAAGCAGCTAAGTGTCTTTGAGTTGTGAAGCTTCCTCCGTATGGCCTCACAGCACCATGGGTTTTCTGACATAGCCACACCAGTAAAACAGCTCACAGAAAAGGGTGCTGGCTTCCAATAGGACAAGGAGGCTGAGCACCATCTCTTCCCTTACCTGTATGGCATCCCCTTTGTTTTGCACAATGATCACACCTCACTGAACTGGCTCATGCAGTTCAAGTAGACTGAGGTCAGGTCGCGACGTGGGTCATGGTGCTACAGGAGTACTACTTCACCATCTGACATGTCCCATCGCCTGCGGAATGCCAGTACTGTGCACACCTCAAAGAGAAAGTGGAGATCATTGAGAGGATTGCCACTGCTGTTGCTGTCGCTCCCAGAGACCGAGACAGACAGTTATGACAGAGGCTCTGCTGGCCGGGCTGCTGCACGGACATGAAACTGTACATGCATTGCTTCAACCTGTGCATGGCTAAGAAGGGACCACCACAGCCTTTGCTTGCCCTGATGCAGTAACACTGCTCTGGCGTGCTAATGAAGAGGATCACCTTTACCCACACCTGATGCCTGCTATGTTCTCATGCCCATGGACTATTTCACAAAATGGCCTGACATGTAAGCGGTCCCAGATCAGAGTGCGGCCACAATGGTGGAATGGCTAGTTGAGAAGTTCTTCTGGCAGTTTGGACTGATGGACGAGCTCCACAGTGACCAAGGGTGAAACTTCAATTTAGTCATGGCTGAGGTCGGAGCCAGAGGAGGACAGTTCACATGGGGTGGGACACATCAAGGAGCTCTGTCACTGTCTCCATACCATGCACTAGCTTGCTAGGAGCCAAAGGGCTGAGGCCAGCACAAACACAGACAGGTGCTTTAGCATGGGGTGTGGATGTGGCTGTACAACCTGTGCCGCAGGAAGAAACACTGCCCCAAGCTCCAACTGCTGTGGGAGGGTCCCTGTATGGTAAAAGACCAGGACTTACCAAAACCATTACTGTGGAGAGACCACGGTGGGCAATTTTGCTCCTGTGGATCTCAGAGGTCTCGAAAATGAGTTACCATGAAATCCATGATCTCCTACATTTTTACTCTAAACAGAGTGAGTACGTCTGACTGATCGACTACATTTCAGAAAACAGAGGAATTGATTTTGATTTATCTGAACTGTAACTGAACAATCATTGGTTTAGTTTTTCATGAAGTAATCAGCAATAAAGATTACACTTTTATATGATAAAGACTTTCAGTGACTCATTATAATGTCAGTTTTTACAGAAGCTCATTCTTTTCTATATCATAACAATTCGCTGTTTGCAGTGTAAATTCAGGATTTCTGAGTTTCTCTACAGCCGTTTTTACCATTTCACTGCCATGTTATCTGCTATAACGGTTCATTGTCCACCATTTTACACCCTGATCTAGAACCCTTGCAACTGAACATTCACTTCTACTAGAACTTTAATCCTTCACAGGGTTTAGCTGTGAACTGGTAAACATCCACACACATGTTCTTCCTTTAATCTACACATCAGTGTTGTATATTTATGTTAATTGTAAACTTACCGTGTGTCACTCTCTCCTTCTTCTCCTGCAGCACTGCTTCTCCCTTTTACTTTCAATTTTCATTTCACTAAATGGATCCAGTGTGGAAGGAAGGCGGCTCTGTTTGTTTTCATTACCAACTGCTCCAAGCATTTCATGCTGACAGGAGTGAGCACAATGGGTCAGCAGGACACAGTAGATTTTTTCATCAAAGGGATGATGGTGGTTGTTTCAAAGCACTCCAGGACAACTGCCTGACTCAGCGACATGTTAAAGACGTCAGTTAGGACACCCACAGTAAAGTTAGCACATCCCCTGAGCAGCCTTTGGGTTGCGCTATTGCCTAACATGCTGATGGGTTAAAAACTGTCACTGTGCTGTTTGCCATGATGTCATCACGGAAGTGTTGTGTGAAAGATGAAAAGGGACAAAGAGCGCTGTGGTATCATGTACTGAGAGTCTTGCCTTAATGTTCCACTTCCAGCCTTAGTAACAGTCCTCATCACACAGGAGTGCACTGACTTTATCACACACTCTATCAAGAGCAAATGTTCTCAATCTCTCTTCAGCACACCTCTGAGCGATAAGCCCTGCACAGACAGCTGCTGTGACTTTTACAGACTTTCTTCTGCAAACGGCCAAATTCACTCTCACCGTGTCTGTGACACGTTCAGCTCAGTCACTTCCTTTTCTGAACCGCAGAGCACATCCTGAGTGGAGAGCACAGAAGATTCAGACACTGTTTACGTTATGTGACAAATACTACTGCTACTACTATGAATAATAATAATAATAAACAACAACAACAACAACAACAACAACAACATCTCAAGCATAAAATCACAGAAATAAACGTTACCTCTCCAGTGTGTTCTCATAAAGAACTATGTTAGAGCACTTTAAGCTCAGGGATTCAAGGATTCGAAGCTTAATGATCGTGAAAAACAGTGTACAATGAAATTCTTACTTGAATGCTTCTCCACAGATTAGGCCATTATCATGAAAACAGTGCAACATTAAAATAAAGTAAATGTCCTGGACCGCTGGGAGCCGCTGGCTGATGATCCTTTGAGCCATTTAACTACCCTTTGTAGGGCATTCTTGTCCTGTGTTGTGCAGCTACCCTGTTAGGATGTAATACCATGTCACCCTGGGGGATGGACTCCACAGCACAGCTGTAAAACTAGTGAGGACTGTAGTGGAGATCCAGGATTTCCTCAGACGCCTGAGGAAGTGAAGGCCTTTTTAATGGCAGCTCTGATATTACTGAACATTACTGTGTGCTCTGATAAGTTGAGGTTATCACTGATGGTGACTCCAAAGAATCTGAAGCTGCTGACCGTCTCTACAGCATCCCCACAGATATAGATAGGGGCACAAACTGCATCCTGTTCCCTGCAGTCAATTACCAGCTTAGTTTAACTGACATTAAGAAGCAGGTTACTGAACTGACAGCGCTCTGCCAGGTACCTCACCGCCTCTTTGTAGGCCGTCTCAGCATTGTCAGTGATCAAGCCCACAATGGTGGTGTCATCAGTGAACTTTCTAATGGTGCTCGTCGTATCTGGCCACACAGTCATGTGTGAAGGAGGATTGTAGCACTGGGCTCAGAACATTGGCCTGTGGAGTGCTGATGTTGTGGATCAGGGTGGAGGAGGTGTTTCTGCCAATTCACACATGCTGGGGTCTGTTGGTGAGTTAATCCAGGATCCTAGTACACAGATTGGCCCTGAGTACCAGATATAGCAGTTTCTGGATGACAGTGTTAAATGCTTAGCTGTAATCCACAAATAACTGCCTGGCATAGCAGTCTTTGTTGTCCAGGTGGGCCAGGGTGGTATAAGTGTGTGTGATATGGCATCCTCAGTGGATCTGTGGTGGAGGTAGGCAAACTGTAGTGGGTCCAAACAGTCAAGGATGATGTCCTTAATATGTCCTATCACCAGCCTCTCAAAGCACTTCATTGCAATGGAGATTAGTGCCACAGGGTGACAGTTAAGGCAACTCACTTTGTTTTTCTTGGGGACAGAATAAAGGTAGGTTTTTAAAGCAGGTGGGGACAGTTGAGTTTTTTATGGAGACGTTGTAAGACGTTGTCCATAAAAACAGCAGCTAATTTATCACTTTCTGTCCAGACCAGCAGCTTCACATCCACCACAGAGAGAGTAAAACATTGTGCAGCACTGCAGGAGCTCGTGCAGCTGTGACTTTTTCCCACTCAGAACATCGTGAAACTCATTCAGTTCGTCTGGTAAAGACGGACTGGTGTCTGAATGCATCTGGCTGTGGTTTATAATCCTTTAGCATCTGAATTCCCTACCACATCCAACACTCATCTCGTGTTCAGTTGAACTGTGATTGCACTCTGTTGCTGTACATGTGTCGGTGCTGGTGAAGACTTTCCAGAGATTGTACTTAATTATTTTTTTTTTTCACTCAAAATACAGGGTGATTCAAAAAGATTAATCTGATTTAAAAATGATTTATTTCACTTGTAAATCATTACAGATCAATGCAGTAAACTGTGAATGGTTTAAATGAGCATAAAGTGTATTATGTACTCCAGCTGTACAGACAACATCAACACCACAGTCAGATTCATCCCATACTGGATTGAGCATGTCGGGTGTCGCTGCACTCACGGCTCTTTCAGTGCGATTTCGGAGATCATCCAGTGTTGTGGAACCAACGACGAACGCTCTGAGCTGTTGGAGCTTCACTGCCCACGAAAATCACACTGCACAGTTATGACGGATTCACTCTTATTGAAGTGGAGAACGCAGAACGCTTTCTGCTCAGGGGTCTCATCTCCTCTCAGACTGAAGGGAGCCATCTTCCACTGACAGTCAGAAACTCTATGACCCCCTCTTTCAATTGGATTGTGATTGGTTCCTCGGCACCTGACCATTGTCAAAATACAGCACTTTGAAATCGGATGAATCTTTTTGAATCACCTCGTATAAAGGGGCCCTCTCATTATTGCAGCCACACTCTTGAGGGTCTCGCCCCTGTGTGTGTCAATCACTTGAGTCACAGTGCTTACTGTAATGCACAATTGTAATTGGCTCAGTAGCATCATGTGTGATATTTACAAGCGTTTCCTGAAGTTTCCTGAGCTGCTTTTCTAACATAAAGACTAGAAAAGTTGTTAAAATAGCAGCACTCCATCAAAATTAAATAATTCTCAATAGTTTATCAGTTGTAGGTCCAGGTCTGGACAGAACAGCATTTAGGTCTGTTTGATTGTTACAATTCATTGTTTTCACTCCTCATTTCTTACTTTATTAACAAAAGTAATTTTTGTATTACTACATCAAGTTTACACACTTGTGTAAATGCATGTATGCAAGGGTGATTAATAAATTAATAAATGCTGTAATAATACATTTGTTAAAATAATTATTTTAGCAATGATTTATTCAAACAATAATACATTTAATATTTGAAATATGTTTATATTGAGCTGTAGTGTAAGAGTAGTAAGCTGTAGTTCAGCCTGGTGCACTGAGAACACCAGCTGCTGACTCTTCATCTTGCACCGCTTGCTCTTCGCTTGGCTTTCCTGTCTGCTGTCTTCCTGTGGCTGTGTTTGTTATTTTAACCCACGTCTTTCCACTGCATCAGTAATATGCGTTTGGAGGTACGGCGTGCCCTCCAGGCACCTCTGCACATGTGGCATGAAAAGCTCTTTGACCAGATGCTTGATGAACCCCGTTCCCAAACAGCCGGTTCACATTGACTACTTACAAATATATAAAAGATATATACAGTTATTAGGGTCAGGCTAAATCACAGTCAAGAACAAGCAAAACAGGTAAGAGTTAGTGTACACAGAGTCAGCAGCAGTACAGTGAGGAAGTGTCCTGGTGAGGAAGTCTCCGGGAGGAAAGGGTGAAGTTACAGGCTGGAATCTGGAATGAATACAAAA